GTTGAAGTTAAAGGCGTTCTTTGGGAAAATGAACTTTATTGCGTAAATTTTCGACGCCGGTTCCCCAGGTCGTCGTCAGACGCAGACTGAGAGTAAATGTGCCGACAACAGTTAACATCTGGCAGCGCACGTGGAAAAAATCGATAATCGTTCGCGTTTGTGCCCGTGAGCGGCCGCTATTTGCGTCATTCTGTGCCGATTGGCTCTCGTCTCTTCCATTTCTCCTTGAGACTTTTGTACGCGGCGTCCAACTCGATGTGACGGTTGATGCACGATTCATCCGAGTGCATGGCCTCAAGGAACTCTCGGCCTTTCTTGAAGGGGCAGGCGCCGACAATCCGTGTTCTGTCCCAAGCAAACGTATGCCCCGTGTCCAGGGTATGCATGGCTACTTGAGACAGGTGGTCTCGCCTCTTTACTGCAAGTTGGTGTTCGTGAATGCGTGTAGAGGCGGATTTTCCTGTTTGACCACAATAAACTGCATCACAGGCCCCACACGGGATCTTGTAGACTACTTCCTTTCTATCCAAATAGCCGACCCTATCCTTAGGGTGTACTATCTGAGTACGTAATGTAGTCGTTGGTCTGTGTGCCACCAGAATTTGGTGCTTCTTTAGGCGCCTTTCCACGAGTTCAGACACGTTTTTGATATAAGGGAGAGTTCGCCATGTATTTGACTTGGGTGCCTGGCTGGAAGTTCTTTGTTCCGTTTCTTTTGACTTTTTCTGTATCATGCATCGGCGCACAAAATTCTTGGGATACCCATTTCGGGAAAATAATTCACACAAGTAACTTAGCTCGGCTCGGTAGCCTTCTTCGTCCGAGCAGTGTGTTTGCCCGATTAAGCAGACAGTTGACCGTACTCCATTTGTGGGAAATGGGATGCTTGCTCTCGTAGTGTAGAATGACTTCCGCATATGTTTGTTTGCGGTACACCGATGTGCGCAAACGGAACAAAGAACTTCCAGCCAGGCACCCAAGTCAAATACATGGCGAACTCTCCCTTATATCAAAAACGTGTCTGAACTCGTGAAAAGGCGCCTAAAGAAGCACCAAATTCTGGTGGCACACAGACCAACGACTACATTACGTTCTCAGATAGTACACCCTAAGGATAGGGTCGGCTATTTGGATAGAAAGGAAGTAGTCTATAAGATCCCGTGTGGGGCCTGTGATGCAGTTTATTGTGGTCAAACAGGAAAATCCGCCTCTACACGCATTCACGAACACCAACTTGCAGTAAAGAGGCGAGACCACGTGTCTCAAGTAGCCATGCATACCCTGGACACGGGCATACGTTTGCTTGGGACAGAACACGGATTGTCGGCGCCTGCCCCTTCAAGAAAGGCCGAGAGTTCCTTGAGGCCATGCACTCGGATGAATCGTGCATCAACCGTCACATCGAGTTGGACGCCGCGTACAAAAGTCTCAAGGAGAAATGGAAGAGACGAGAGCCAATCGGCACAGAATGACGCAAATAGCGGCCGCTCACGGGCACAAACGCGAACGATTATCGATTTTTTCCACATGTGCTGCCAGATGTTAACTGTTGTCGGCACATTTACTCTCAGTCTGCGTCTGACGACGACCTGGGGAACCGGCGTCGAAAATTTACGCAATAAAGTTCATTTTCCCAAAGAACGCCTTTAACTTCAACATATATATATATACATATCTTAAGCCTGGAAAGTGAAATACAAGTTCACGGCGCGAAATAAATGCTAATTAGGTAAAGACTCCGATACAAATTTGTTTTGCAACACGTAGGAAATAGTTTAATCGTAAACGTAACTCGTTTGGCCATCACTGTAATTGATAAATCATACTGCCTCTGAGGACTTGCACAGACGTCTCCATAAGCACACCTCAGCCAACATTTATTTGGCATGCTATAGTTTCATGAAGTACTTCACGTGCAACGGAACCATACGGTTTGCCAAGTTAATTTGATCCAGTTGTAAAAAAATCGGTGGCCACGATGGGAGTAGAAGCCACGAAAGCATGAGCAAGACTTGAGTTCACCCGGCGCTCTAACTACCTGAGCTAGGAGGCTTCACCGGAGCGGTGAGTTTAATCACATTTGAGTCAAGTTACTCGCCCAGCCAACCGCAACGTTTGGAATCCACCAAATATGTTAGAGTAAGGTGACTGTCCAAACAGGATTTCCAAGGCTATCCGTCCAGAATTCACCAAATGACTGACGGGCTTTAAAAATCAAAACTGAAGGTTATGCGGTTGGAAGATTAAAGCCTAGTATAAAGTTACCATATGAACCTAAACTGCCTTCCTCTGCGAGGTCAAAATTGATTGCAAAAGGAACCCTGTCCCGTAATCAGCAGATGAACGATTAAATATCAGGTTAATCTGATTTTAAGCCTTTAAGTCATGCTGTTGGCGAATGCGAAAAGTGCCCTACCGAGATACAATGAACTGTAGTCCAACTTTTAACTTCACAGGACGGTAAGGAACTGGAATTCGGTGACCGAAATGAAAAGACAAAGGAAAAAGATAAAACAGAACTTTCTAAAGACAAAAAAACATCGCTAATGGGATTGCTCGGGCTGTGAGAATCACCAGTTCGCTGGCCGAATTGACACATACAGTAGGTTTGCTAACTCATACATTAAAATCTCGGTCTGAGTTTACTGACCTACTGATCTACTCCACGTCCGTGGTTAATTTCTAGAGTATCTACTAGAAAGCTGCGGGACGCACTGACGAGCCGAACCCCTCGCAGTTGGGCCATGCAGCGACAGAATACCGGCAAAACGCATGTGTCTGGGCTTTTAGTTGGTACCTATGCTATTAGTATGGAATCACTTTACCATAAAGTATGCTTCTAGCTGCCTGTCGGCTGTTAGTGAAGGTTACGCGGCTACCCGCTGTGGCTGATGGACTTGGGCCCAAAAATTCATACATAAAAGTATAGATCTGAGACCACAAACCTTGAATTAACTGATCTACTCCAAGTTCGTAGTAAATTTATGAGGAAATTAAAAAACGACGATATCTCATGCAATGCCATGAGTTTGCAGAAGAAAATCCTTGCACGCAAAACCTGCCCAAACTGCGTTCCCCAATTTCTAACGGCAGTAAAAAAACGACTTTTCTTTAAAAGAAGACAGAGAGGAGTTCTTAAATTTATATTTACTAACGTCAAAATAAATAATTTTCACTGAACAATAGAATTTCATGAAATGGCTATGATAAAATGCGTTTAACTAGGGCTAAATATAGGGGTACATAGTGAGGAGGGAAGCATAAAATGCGACAAAGAATGAAAAAATAATAACAAATACAAAAATCAGTACTTTGCTGATTATCTACTTGTAGTTATCACCACAGAAAGCCTCTCAGTCATGGAGATGGCCAGCTTGCCTATAATAGATAGTTCAGTGTGATTTTCTAGCCTAAAATAAATTTTGTTTTATATTGGAAGTTTCTTATTCGACTTGTGCTAATGTCTTTTGTAGATGCGAAAATAGTTTCAATGTGATTGGGATCGGGGCAGTTAATATGGACAAAAATTCATTGGAGGCCACATGCGGTGACGCTGGCTGTTGTCTAAAAACTCAGATTACAAATGAAAGCGTTATTAGATTTATACTTCTCTAGTTCGATAGACAGCGGCATTACCGTGTAAAATTATGGCATCTAGTCGCCGTCGGTGGGTGTTGTAATCAAAACATCCTTTACAATGCTGGCGAACCTCGCAGATGTTCCCTCTGAATCGTCTAACTTTGTATATAATGGTGCCTTTTTAGTGGGTGACGAATAAAATCGTCGTCTTGCTCAGTTGCGGGCCGTTTTGGTCCACCCTACCTATTTTAGGCACGGTCCTATCATTAAGTA